ATCAGTTCAGGCTTCAGTATTTTCCACTTATGTCACTTGGAGTGTGAAAACAGTATTTAAGACTGCAGCACCTGACAACTGAAATATTTTACAGAAGTCTACAAGTAATAGATGTGACATATATCATTAGAGTGCCAGACCAAAATTGAAATGCGAAATTCCTCACTGTGATGTTAAACTTGTAGCTTTCTAGAGCAAAAAAAAATTATTGTGCCTTAAACCAGTAAGTCAGTACACTCTAACTGTAGCCTGTGGACTTCTGTAGCCTTATATTTGATTTTTGAAGTTGACCAAAAATATTTGTGTGGGTCATACTGAAACTTGATTTGGGGAAAATACTTTAAAAAAAATATTTTGACCCCCCTTGACTATATTTAGAGAAATTAAGATTTATGACAAGTACAGTATATTTGTGATCTGGAATCACACCAACCAAAGTCAGAATGTTTCTGCTGACCTTGAAAAATGACGTCTTTCTATTTTGACAAAAAAAAACTAAGGAAGGAAAGCTAGTCTCACATATCTGTCTCAACTTTGAAGTCTGTGTGTCAAATTATTTTTTAAATTTTTTTTCTTTGGTTTCTTCAATAATAAAAAAAGAAATGCTCTAATTGTAGGTTAAGCACAGTATTGCATTTAAGCCATTGAGTATCAATATCTACACCAGTGTGAGAAAACTAGAAGCTGGTCAGATGGAGGTTGGTTGGTTGTTTTAAAGCTCCAGAAATTTTGAATAACGAATTTCTCTTTTTAGGAAAAATATTCATACATAAAACCCTGAAAGTTTTTTGGGGGAGAAAAAAAAAAAAGGTTTATACATTCTGTTCTTCTGAGTTCATTAAAGAAAACCACAAATAGTCAAGATCTTAAAATCTTATTTTGATATACTGGAAGTATTTCTTATGTATATTTTTTTTTAGTATGAAAAGCCACCACTGGCTTTCCTTATGTGTCTCTACAGGATTCTTTGTATATTTTGAATGAAACTCCTCAAATTCTGACTTTCTCCCCCCCCCCCACATTAGTACTATGTAATAATCTTGAATAAAGACGCCATCTCAAAGCTTATCATTGGACTGTGGACATGTAGATATGCACACAAAATGACTGCATGTCAGCTGATCACAGTAGTTGTTTGAAGCCACACAAATCCAAGTTATTAACCCTTTTTTATTGAGAGCTGACTTGAGCCTGGCTACAACAGTGCTGCTGATGCTGTGGCACAACAGATAACATGCAATTTTTGTGTCTTCCCTGCAACTTCCTACTGTATGTTAGCTTAGGACTTCTAGAACTCTCTTTCTGGTCACCTCACTTTCTCATTTTTCTTGTCTCATTGTTGATTTCCTAGGTGCAAGAATGTTCTGGTATTAAAATCATTGAGAGAGCAGAACTACCTTTAAGGCCTTTATATATGATGATTAGTCTAAAAAAACTGTAGCCTAGGCCTTGTAACTTGATACCCTTTTTACCTTTTATTTGTTTTTCTAAGCACAAAGACAGAAAAATGTTGGCCAAAATACCTGTTTTGGGTAATGGGGGCGGGGGAGTGGGTGGGCAGCAGGCTGCTGTTTGGTTTTAAGAGGACTTAAAACTTTGAAGAACACATGTAATTAAAAAAAAAAAGTGTTGCTTCATATACAACCTATCTTACATGTTTTTAACTCCTCTGTTTTCAGTTCTTACATAGCTGGTGTAAATCCAGTGGTTTAAGTGGAGCTAACTCTTAATAGTTACAGGTTTCTAGAGATGATGACAGGGTCTTATCTATAAATGTTTGAATAATGCTATAATAAACTGTTGTGCTTATTAAAATATTTGTGGTTGAATTCTCTGATACAGTTCATGCAATGTGTGGTAAATTTGGCAAAGTCCTTGTCTTGTGAGATGCTGAGAAAACCTTGGAGAATAGGTATCTTCAGCTAATGATGAAATTGCTGAAAGCTGTAATCTCAGATTCTTTAAAGACTGTGCTTTTAGATACTGGTACTTTTATTGTTGAAGTTAAGGACAACTTGAGTGAGAACTACTCTTGGATGTTCCTGTCTTGTTTAGTGGTTTCCCTGTCTGCAGTGTATACCTCACATTTTTTTATTTGTCTTTTTTTAAGTAAGTGTGCATGGCCTAGAGTACACTGTATAGCATTTGTTCCACTAAATAAACACTTCTGTATATTTTGTATAGTGTTCTAACATGGCTGCATTAGTACAAATGGTTGTAATTCACAAAAAGTGCCACTTACCAGCCATACTCTGTAGAGTGTTGTGAATGTTACCTGTACTTCTGTTGTACAAGCACGCTAATGGGTGTCGTGATGGACATTTGCCTTCGGTCTTTGCTCAGGTACTCATGTGAAGCAGTTTGGTGCTTTTCCTTCTAACTTGTAATGCTTGGGACTCTAATCAGATAATAAAAACAGTGAACAAAAGCATTGTGGATGGAGCAGTACTTTCAGTAACCAGCACTTTTTTCACATCTTGAGTAGAGTACAATAAAGATGATACCTGATGAAGCTTGTCTCAATATCTTAACTTATGCACCTGTTATATCTGCCTTGCTATCATGAATGGGAAATGCAAGAAAATGGAAAATGTTTGGTTAATAATAGTTTATATAGAGCATAATGTGTATAAAACTTGTTCTCAGCTAAACTAATCAGTTTCAAATTTGCCTTTTGTTCCAGAACAAGATTTTTACCTTTTTGAAGTAACTTACATGAAACTGAACAAGCCATGCTATGAGCATTTTCAGCTTCAGTGCCATTTAATTCAAATGTACATGAATGTTACTCTGCCACTTTCAAAAGATTTGGTTTACTAAAGATGTGTCTCTACATACATAATTTGTCAAGAAAACCTAGTGCTTAAATTTGGCAGCATTACAAATGCAGCACACTGACATCTGACTTGGAAAACATTTGTGTAACTAGCTACTGTTCAAAGGAGGATGCAGTTTTGTCGAATCAGTATAACTGTACTAATAGTGTTTTAGTATGAATGTGTTCCACTTGTATTTGACTTTCACTGAGGGGAAAGAGCTATAATGAAATGAAGTTACAGATTACTTTGGTATGTTTTACTTGCTGAATATGCTTCATATACCCCCATTTTTCTTTCTGATTAAATCAAATTAATAAAAGAGTTGAGGGGCGGGGAAAAAACTATGGAAGCAGATTGCCTGTTATGGCTATTTTTTTCCTCTAGAGGAATGTATTCCTACTTGTGGTTGATGTAGAAAGTAAATTTTACACAAAATTAAACTGTACATATGTAAGTACTTAGAAAATAAACCAAGTAAGTTCCCTTACATTGGGGCCTGCCTTTTAAAAAGTTCTTCTGTTGTTACTGCTGTTCTGGTTCTTGTGGGATCTACTATCTATTGTTTATTGTGAAAAGTAATTGATGAGGTTGGATGGATATTTATTTTTTGATGCATTTTTTTCCCAACTCTATAGAATAATATAGAAACTGGATAAGTTGGCTTTTATTTGTATTTGTTACTGCAGTCATGAAAATAGCACTGCTAGGATTTTGTTAACTGTGTTACTAATGGCATTTGGATGCCCACAACTTAGTCTGCCTGGAAGAGTAACGTTAGGCTTTTTTTGTTTTGCTTTCAAAATTTGAACCAAAGAAAGTTGTAAAGATTCTCGTAAAAAACCAAACATCTATAACCTGGAGTAAGAGAATGGCCAAAAATCTTTAGTTTTAACATGTCTACTTAGAGATATATTTTATGTGGTACTAACTAAAGCATTGTCTAAATAGTGGAGAGAAAATTATAAGCAAAAAATTTGAGCAGCTTTGAGATGAAGGACGCTATGAAGTAAGGCCAAGGTAAATTAGCATAGTCCTCCTTGCAGTCTTTGTCTTAGTTTCTAGACTGGCAGGAGGATATTGACTGCTGATAAAATCAGAGTAGAAAAGCAACATTTTCATTAAAGTGAGGTTATTTCAGATCTTGAAACAGACCTTTTCTCTCTTTCTCCAACATCAGGAAAATGATCCGTATCTCATCTTGCTTGAAAACCATTCAACCAGCTGTAATTGTTAGTCACCATTCTAGAGATATGGCTAATTACTTTTAATTAATATTTTGATACAGCTCTGCTATCTCTGCTGGGAATTGTTTTGAACTTATTATATGCTTACCACCAATTTTCTGCAATACAGCATAGGAAGGAGGAATTTGCACTGCACTGTTCAATAGCAACAGGTCTTAAGAGTATTAAGGATGAAATTCTCAAGGGTCTTTATGTCATGGATGGAAATGGAATCATTACTGTATTTTTGAACTCCTGCGAACGTCATTGACACCCACCTACAGTCCACTAGAAATACAAGTGCAGAGATCAGTTTGTTCGCAGATTACAAGGAGACAGACCAAGAAGGGGCAAGCCAGAGCCAAGTTCAGGGTAAGCTTTACTTTAAAGAACCTGAAAGGGAGAATTACTTTTTTTTTTTTTAATCAAGTTGTAAACTGGGTCTCTAGTATGTTATGCTATGCTAGGCTGTGTTATTATTGCATTTATTAATATGTTGTACACTTTAATGCAGTTTTAAAAATTGGGCTATCTGGATCCCAAGCCATGCTTTTGCATTCTCCTTGGAGCACACAAAGATCTGATGCTGTAACTAATCAGGCAGTGCAAATGGCTGCATGCAATAACAAATGTAAATTTACAAATAATAAATATTTTGTGTTAAATGTCATTATTCCCTTTTGAAAAGAGAATCCATTGTCTAGAAATAGCTTTGGTGTGGGAAACATGTCTTTAGAATAATCTTTTCTTCCTAGTACATTAGTAGAAAACCATAAAAAGTCAATAGCATACAGGTCTAATCTGCAGTAGGCTAGTTTTCCTTGCCATGGAGAAATGATTTTCAGCACCCCACTGGATTGTCGTGCTTGCTTGTCGTTTGTTACCAGTGATGGCTCTGTGGGACTTGAGAAGTCTGGTTCACTGTCCTTCTTACAGATAGTCTGTTCGTCTCTTCAGCATGTGGAAAGTGGTGCTCCTGGCTCTGTATACAGTATTGGCTGTGAGAGGATTGGCAAAGGGTGCTCCTTTCCAGCCAGAAGAAAAATGGAAACCTCTAGATAACCCTAGAAACAGAGACCTGGTAAGGAGATACTGCAAGAAATGTAGCCTAAGTTCTGTGTGGGTTTTGTGTTTTCTGACATGAGAAATGTTGTCTTCTAAATTTAAAGGTAAGCGAGGCTCATTAAATGTAGTGTTCGTAACTGTGCACCGTGTATAGTCAGTAACCACAGCTGGATGAGCAATCTTCAGTCACGATGTACCCCTTAACTGAAGAGACATTCTTGGTGTGCAACAGCACATAAAACTTCCTTATACCTCCATCCAGCAGCTTTAGTTTTTAAAAACTGAAAACTTCACAAAACTTCTTTGTTTTATGAAACACAAGAGGAATTATTATATTGCTTTCAAATGTGTACTCCATTGATTGCAGGTTGTCCCATCTTCTCGAAGTTCATATAAATTTGCATCTGACATGTTGTCATGAATAGTGGCTAAAGGATCGGAAAGTTAATTACAACTAAGAAGATACCATTTGTAAGATCTCATAAGGAATTTGTGAAGAAAAAAAAAATCAGTTTCCCACAGATTTTTCTGCACTGTTTTAAGAATTAATTTCTACTTTTAAGTAATATAAAGGGTCCACAGCTGCTAACTCTTGGAGAACATTTCTCTTAAGGAAACGTGTAGCAGAACTGTACTGTTTGCACTCAGCATGGCTTTTGGGATACAATTTGAATCCTCTGTGGTTCAGTGGGGAGTGCAGATGATCAGTAAACGGTGGCCTTTGGATGCCACATAAGGTGTACAAGCAATGGATGGAGTGGACATGTCTGAATTATATTGCCTGTATTGAAAATAGAGGGTTTGATCCCACATAGGAGCAAACACATCATCTACTTTGTGTCAGTAGAAATAATTAATAGGCATTGGGCATGCTCTGTTTTCACATATGAAATATGTTCAGTTTTTCAGAACGCTCCAGGCTTATTTTTCGGGCAGGGGTCTTGATCTCAGAAAGTTCCCAGCTACTTTCACTATGAACAATGAAGGACCAAGGGCCATCACGTTCTACTCAGATCCTATTGCTTCTGCATTTGCAGATTATGAAGAAAGGAGAAATTCTTTTCCAAGTTATTTCAAAGGCTGAAAGATGCTTCTGACCAAGGTAAAAGAGGATGCCTTTTCCTCTAATGTTGTTACATGTAACCAAGTGAAAAATTGGGATTCAGGTGATTCTCATTTCTATCTGAAGTATAAAAACAACTTCTTTTTCATAGGAAAAAAAAATGCAGCACCTTAACTCTTGCCTGAAGTTGGTTTTTAAAATTGTTGATTTATGATATATTTACCACTTTGGTAAAATAACATATGGTGCTTGTGCAGACCTAAATCGATCATGCTTTTATTTTTTCTTCTTTCCCTTTTATTCATGTGGAGAAAAATTCTGAAAATGTATGGACGATAGAGAATGCATGGTTTTAAGTAACTGATATCACTAAAATTATAAATTGAAACTAATGGTTTCCTGTGATATATGTATATTAAAAAAGTTAATTTAGATGTAAGATACTGCACTAACAAAGCATACCTTATCTTTTATATTTTTGTCCATTCACGCTGTTTTCCTTATTTCTGCCACTAGAATTATAGGTTGAATAAAATGATTGCAAACTTATTCACGTTTCTCCACATATATGAAATAAAATTGAAATGGGTCAAGCTTGTATTATTAAAAAATCCAGCCTCAGTTTATAGCAGGTACTTCTCAGTGACTTTGTCAATGTAAAAACATACTCTGTAACAAATTACAGAATCAGACTGGTGGAAGTAATTTGGCCTACATAATTCAGGATGATCACAGTAGCTCTCTTCAGTGTTCAGAGCCGTTTTTGGAAAGCAGAGGTCTGCTGGGGTGTTTCAGCCAGTGTTACCAGGTCTTAGTTTGGATCACACCCGGGTTGCCTGTAAATATTTCTTTATTTGTCTCACTTCTCCTCCTCCCTCTCTCTTTTTCAGGCATTAACTTTCAAACTTCACACGAAGTGGTACCCTTCACAGCAAAATATTATTACTTCGACTTTTTAACTGTTACTTGTTGATTTAAATTTTTTCTCGCTATCAGTTTTTACTTATGGAATCTGGTGTCATGCTGTAATTGGCACATTTGCTGTCTGTTGACAAATGTGTGATGCTTGGCCACTACACCTGTGTTTGTTTAAATGTGAATAAATGAGGAGTGCTCTTAACTACTGCTAAGTGTCTGTGCTTTAAATGGGTAAATAAATGAAACCTTTCAGTCTTTTGGAGCTAGATGGCATGAAGTGTTTTGCGGTGGGGGTTTTTTTTAGGTACTCGTTTTTAAATATCAAAAGTCTTCTGGTTTCTTGGGAGACTGCACCGAACAGGGCCACCCCAGCCCTGTCAGGGCCACCTACCCAGGTGCCTGGTGGCTGCTTCCACCTCAGCCCCAGCCCCTCACACCATTTCTGACCGTGCCCCAGTCAATAAGTCATCTGCGTGGTCACTGTTACCTATATGACGTTAAGAAACCCTTCTCCTGTAAAAATAACAGCTGCTTTTGAAAAAATAAAAGATTATCTAGCATCTCGCAGTGAGGTCGGTAACAGAGAAGCCTTCCTTGTGTCCTCACGCCACTGGCCTCCCCCTGAGGCAGCGAGCGCTCCCCACACCCCCCGGGCGTAGGACACCTCCCCAGGCTAAACCACGGTGCCGATGCTTCGTGCCCTGGCTCAGGGCAGCAGCGCCGAGCCGGAACTCCTGCGTGAGGGCGTCGGGCGGGGCGGGCGCCATAACGGGAGGGACCCGCGTCCTGCCCCGAAAGAGGTTCCCCAGCGCCGGCTACGGGTGGTGCTGGCGCGATGTCGGGTTTCAGTCCGGAGCTGATCGATTACCTGGAGGGGAAGATCTCCTTCGAGGAGTTCGAGCGGCGGCGAGAGGAGCGCAAGAGCCGCGAGAAGGTGAGTGCCCCGCCTGGCACCCTGACGGCCCGGCCCGCTCCGCTCCGCTCCCTCCCTCCGCGGCAGCCCCTGGCAGGGCAGGGCCCGCTGCAGGAGCAGCACGACGGCCTCTCCTCTGTGTGTGCGTGTTTGTGTGTTTTCGTTAAGCGCTGCTGGGCTCAGCTGTTGGTTACTGTCTGCATCATCGTTAATTTCTGTGCAAAAATGATAAGAAATGAGCAATTCATTCAGGGGAGCAAGCTACCTTTCGGAAGTGAATACAGCATTTTGGGGCATGGTAGCGTGACTTGTGTCCCTGCACTTGGCCAAAGCTAGTGGCAGTTGCCTTCAGGCACCAGCATTAATTTCTCCTTTAGGCTGGAGCATTGAGCAGAAACAGGTTTTGACTCAAAATCGTCCAGCGTACGCTCCTGCTGCTGCCTGCCACCTCCTGTGTGAGATCTGAGGAAGAGATGCAGTTCGACTCCTTTGGTAATCGTGGCTTCTTGGCAGCAATAAATACAGGGAGACACAGGTCTGTGTCTAAAGCAGTTGGCGATATTATGGGAAATTCTGTATACTTGATTGGAGTGTTGTAGTTAACTTTAACTTTGCCATCTTTATATAAAAATGCAACCAAATTTTTGTATTTTCTGGTCATCAGAGAGTAAATTCAGCAGAGCTCAGCTGTCATGGAAGGACAAATGATACCCCAGGGCAGCCTTCTTACTTTGTTAACAAGTGCTATTTTGATATGTCATTTTGTGTTTAAAAAAGCAGGTTTCTGAAAGGCTTTGTCACTCATTCTTAAGGTTTTTTTTAATGCAATCAACCATGTCATCTTACCTCACTGTAATGCCAAATAAGTAATGGACTCGTCTCTTCAGTCAAAAGTAACGTGAACAGTCACCATCTGAGTCATCTCACATCAATAAGAATATAAATGTCTTGAAAGCAAGTAGTGCTGGATTTTGTTCATTCAAAAATACAGCGCTTATTCCACCTGTCTCCAGCTGTGCAAAATCTGGAAACCGGTGCTCTAACTGCTTGCTGTAAATATTAAGAGAAATAGGAACGAGTCACGTTATAAAGCCAATAACTGGTATTGTTGGTGTGCATAGGATGGCGAGAGTGCATCTGCCGAGGAAACCACTGAAGATGTAGAGGCTCCATCTTCATCCAGAAAAGCATCTGGGAAATCTCAAAGTCAGGATGAAACTGATGGTAAATGTTAATGTAATAATTTCAGTGAAAAATGTATTGAAAAGGTCATTGAAAGCATTTGCTCTTTGATAGCTGACTTTTTATAAGTACCTGGCTGCTTCTTTTGAGCCTCTGGGTATTGAAGCACATTGTTAAAATGTGTATCTTTGTAGGATGTTCCAAGTTGTAGCCAGGGCTTTAACTGTGTTCAGTGTTTCTAAGGGGCTGGATCTGGCCAATCTTTTCCTGGGAAACTCTCCACTTCCCCCTCCTGGCTTCTTAAGCACATGCTCTCGGTTATTTATCATCTCTAAAGTTACAAATAATTAAATAATTTGAAGTTTTAAACTTATGTCAAAAAATCTTCTGTCTGGTTTGTTTTGAATTTTTTCCTGTTCATCTCTTTGCGAGTCTTTTGCTGAGACTTGAATGTTGCAGAATACTTGGTTCTGCTGTGTGAGTATATATGCCATCATATTCTTATTTATTTTAAGGAATTCTGTTATTTCTTTTTCTGGAGAAATGTGAATCATCTGAGGTTTGCATTTACACATGTTAAAAGGTACTTATTGTCATGGATAGCATGGCTACAAGGTCTTATTTTAAATTACTTCTGAAAATTGGTTGCTGCATTATTGTTGAGTATAATTGTCTGCTCACTTAGCCTCTTCAGGTGAAAAGCTTTATTCCATCCAGCCAGTTCAGTGCTTGAAAATTGCTTAATGTGCTTCTTTTGTGTGGCTTGAGAAAAATGTTGAATAAACTGTTGCTTTGTTCTGTGTGTTCCTCCATGCTTTCATTTCAAATATCCAAAAAATGTTAGAGGCTGGGGTGTGCTAAGCATTGGTGATGAATAGTGCAGAGTTTCAAAACCAATGAGGGTATTAATAGTTTTTCTGCATTTCTGCAGGTCTTTTTCCTATAGAACAGCTGTTTCAAGTGGGCTACTAATGACAAAGAATTCAGTTTTCTCTGCACTTGTCCTGATAAGCAGTGTGTACCTTTTTTGCTTCTTTCTCAACCAGGAGAAACTTCAGATGGTGTCAGTAAATCTGTTCATCGAGTCTTTGCATCCATGATTGGGGAAAATGAAGAGGAGGAGGATGACGAAGAGGAAGAGGAAGAAGAAGAAGAGGAAGAAGAAACTACTGAGCAACCGACAGCTGGAGATGTTTTTGTGCTGGAGATGGTTCTTAATCGAGAGACCAAGAAAATGATGAAAGCAAGTATTAAACTTTCATGTTAACTTCCTTGTATCTCCTGAAGCATAATGCATAAATACCAGTTTGTATGATTTTAGCTGCTTGCTGAGAAACTTGCCTGAAAATAATTCTGTGTAGGATACTTCTGCTTATGTTGGCGTTGCCTGTCTTTTTTTTTAGAAAACTACTATAAATTACTTTTTGAACCCTTTAAAAATAATGAAGAGAGTCTTTCCAGTGTCTGGTTTCTATTTGTGTTACTTATCAGAGTTACTCTGTCAGTTATGAAGATTGTAAAATATTTTGGTCGGTCATTTTAATATTGCTCGTACTTAAATAACTTGTTATTATGTTGTGTTAAGCACAAGTGTGAATTTTGGCACAACTCGGTAGAAATAATACCCCTTTGCTATTTAGGAGAAGAGACCTCGCAGCAAACTTCCTCGTGCCTTGAGGGGTCTGATGGGAGAGGCCAATATCAGGTTTGCTCGAGGAGAACGTGAGGAGGCCATTCTAATGTGCATGGAAATCATTCGACAAGGTATGCGTGACTGGTGAAATGCTCTGGCTTTAAGGAGGGGGTGAAACTGCCATGTGCTTCAGGAATATTCGGCGTGGCTTCACTGGTGATCAGAATAGTGTAAGAAATGTCACTGTACAAGTGGTGTGGAATTAAGAATATGTAGTGTATTCCCTTTATTATTTTGCTTATAAAAAGAAACCAGCACCCTAATTCGGCAGAGGCCTGGGCCTTTGCTTGGCTTGACACAATTTGCTTTTAGTGTCTTTGTAGGACTGAGGTATAAACATCAGCATGACTTCCAAAGTAGAATAATGCTCTAAATGGTTGTTGTTAGGTTCAGCCAGGCTGCTTAATAATTTATAAAAAGGGATCGGAAGCTTGTCTGCAGGTTTTTTCTGAATTTAAACAGCAATGTGGATGTTTCATATAATTCTGGTATCTGTTGTTTGCAGAAAGGCAAGTTATTTGTTTTCAAGGTGGTTTTAAAACAACAGTCCTTATTCATTCTTTTTGTTTTCACGCAGCTCCTCTTGCTCATGAGCCATTTTCCACTCTTGCCATGATCTATGAAGACCAGGGTGATATGGAGAAGTCGTTACAGTTTGAACTGATTGCAGCTCACTTAAATCCAAGTGATACTGAGGAATGGGTTAGACTAGCAGAAATGTCACTGGAACAGGACAATATTAAACAGGCTGTTTTTTGCTACACAAAAGGTAGCGTAGCAACCATTTTAATATTTTAAAATAAATGTTAGGTGCTAATGGCAATCATTTTGTTTTCTTCTGCTTTCTAATTTAATTTGCTGCAGTTTGCTAAGAATCTGGTTCCTGTGTCCAGACTTTGGTAAAAGATGAATGAATCTTTAATATAGGATGTTCTTTTTTTTACAAAAGGCTTGTGTGTGTCTGTTAACATTCACCTGGTCAGGGAAATGGGTGTGAAATTCATTGTTGCCTTTTCCTAAAATAGGCTACTAATATGCTTTTTTCTTGTAGCTCTGAAATATGACCCAACCAATGTGCGTTATCTATGGGAGAGATCAAGCCTGTATGAACAGTTGGGGGAACACAAGATGGCTATGGATGGCTACAGGCGTATTTTGAATCTTCTGTCTCCCTCTGATGGAGAGCGCTTTATGCAGTTGGCCAGAGACATGGCGAAGTATGTTGGATTGAAAACTACTGTGATTTGGTTTTCCAGAGTTTCTCAATAACGGGTGTTAATAAGCGCTGCAGCTGGTTCAAGCTGGGTGTGAGGCTGAAATCGAGGAACGCGGGTGTTTTTTCTGGGGGTGACCCACACAATCCGCTGTGATATTTCTGGAGCCTGACATGTGGAAATTATCCTATATAGGATTAATGCATCTTAGAAGTGTTGCATTCTCTTAGAGTAGGAGAATAAAATGCAAATACTAATTACTGGGAAAATGCCAGTAGTATAGAAATATAGACATGCAGTGCATTTTTAATCTATGTAGTATCACTAGAGACCTGGAAACTTACTGCCAACAAACCTGAGTGAAACAAAGTATTCAACCTCAAATAGAAACTGTCTGCAACAGAGTGCAGTTTGTATGGCATTTGTGATTTGTTCCCAGAGCAAGTAGAAATCTACCTCCTTCCCTTTTCTGCTAATGAACGCAGATCAAGCATAGAAGCTTGCCTGAGACAGAGAAGGCTTGTGGTTAAAATGTGTAGCTCTCTTATCATAGTAGTTAGTGAGTTGTTTAACTACTTTATATCTCAGCTTTCTCAGGCGTAACTTGTAGAAAGCTGTTATTGGCCTGTTTCAAAATGGGTTTAAATCTTTCGATCTTTGTGGCTGTGAAATGCACCCAAAAAATGCAAGGATGTGTGTTGCCACAAAATTATTATTGAAAGTTTTTCTGAAACTGGGTTAATGTGATACATTATTGATACCTAGCTCAAGGTGGGGGATGTTGTGATGAAAACTCCAGTCATGTTCAAACATTTTGGCAAGAATAAAATGGTAATTATTTGAAATACATAAAAGTTGTCAACTTTTCAAAACTGTCAACTGCTCAAAAGTTGCAAGGAAAGAAAAAGCACTCTCTTTCTTACTCTCTTTTGTATCTTACTGTTGCTAATGAAAATATTTGCTAATAGGCAAAACTAAATGTGAAAATCCTTTTGCTAGTGTTCAGAGTACATATTGTCAGTTATCTCAAACACTTAGTATCTCAATACCTGTGTTTTATAGGAGTTATTACGAAGCCAATGATGTGACCTCTGCTATTGAGATAATAGAAGAAGCCTTTACTAAGCACCAGAGCCTTGTGTCCATGGAAGATGTTAACATCGCAGCTGAACTATATATTTCCTCCAAACAGCATGACAAAGCATTGGCGGTATGGACAATTAAATGTGTTTCTATATCATGTTCAGCACGTCTTTGCTGGTCAGGATGGACGTTTTATATTCCTGTAGTGCTTAAATATGGTCATATTTCTGTAGTGATAGAGCTGATCAGATAGAGATTGCTTTCTATTAGTTCTGTAGTAATTAGCATTGAAGTTAAGAGCTTGATTCAATAAGTTGGGGACTGATAGACTTGTATGTTGTTTTAGGTTTAAATTTTTGCAATCCTTTCTCTTCTTCTCTTCAGTTCCCATAACCTTAGTAGCCAGAGAAGACCTACGAGCTGGTTTTGAGAGCACTACCAGCAAAGAGCGTTCTCTCAGTTGAAGGTTAAAAGGGTGACACTGAATGATCTAATGGTTCAAATGCAGACCCTCACGCTTTGTCTGGCATACTTCTGTTACAGCTAATAATTTGGGATTAAGCATCAAGCATAAATTCCAGAAAGACAGTACATCTTGGCTCTAAGGCAAGAGGAACTGGAGAATTACTTATCTGGTCCCAATGTTTTCTAGTGATTGTTAACTCTCACTTTTGAGGACTGTTTTCTTCTTGATAGTTCTCCTCAGGTCTGTTGTTTTCTATAGGTGCCTGTCTTGATGACTCTTGTTTTGGCAACAGTAATGACTTAAATATTTACTTTTCAATTCATGAACAAGTGTACAAAAGTGCATTGGGTCTTAGACAACAGTCCTTTACACTTCTGCATTTCTCCCCTCACAGCTCCCCATTGGCAAGCATCTTGAATTGTCTGTGTTTGGTTTCTATTTTCTTAATCAGTTGTTCTTTTGAATTATACTGGCTTTATTCAGGTCATGATGCCTATGACCAGGACTATTGTAAAATGTCTGTATGTAGCAGTAAATTTTAGTGATTTTTTTTTTTAACTGAGACAAACTGTATGGGTTCCTTGAAATGTATTAGGCTGAGAAATCCTTGGAGCACTTTGGAAAGATCTGTGGAGAGTTTAGCTGTTTACCTGGTGCTTTGCTTTCCTTTTCAATCTTCCAAAAGGCATTAGAAGAAGACTAAGAGATGCTGGTTGGATCGTCTAAGTAGTACAAAAATAGTAGACAAAGGCATAAGGTGATCGGACTCAATACTAGCGATGTGAAATGAGTGCAGCTTTTCTTCTGATAACTTTTGTGACGTCTAAAATAACTGCCATATGGTCTGGTTACTCCATAAATCCTTTAAGTCTTTAAAATGATCTGAGTTACTCGTCTGTTTTAGGTTATTACAGATTTTGCAGGAATTGTCCTTGAAAAGAAAGCATCAGAAAAAAGCCCAACTGAGGGGAAAAAAGGTAAGTAGCTAACAAGCAGTTACCGTGACCCTGCCGCTCATCTAGTATGGCATCTTTACATCTTTCTTTCAGTTCTGTTTTCAATTCGTGGGTATATTTTGATGTATGCTGACAGGCTTTTATCTTTTGAAACTCTTCAGTGTTTTTAATGAGTTACACAGCATGACCTGAGGTTTCTCTAAGGAGTTTGATGTCCAATTAGCCCTGCTGACTCATTAAGGACAAGGACTGCACTCCAGGCAACTGGAGGCCTTTTAAAGTTCTAAACATTCCTCTCAGTGTTCACATCAGACCAGTTATTTCTGACAGCTAAATAGCTTCTGAAAAAAGATCTAGATAAGCTTAATGGCATCTGTACTCAAGAATATCAACCTTTGACCAGAGACTAATATTCATAAACGCTACTTATGTTATTAAACATTTAAATGTTTTGGTATATACGAATCTAGGGATATTAGCTTGTAACTGAATAAAGTAGCTTGTCCTTGAGAAACCTGCTTTTTGAAAGTTGTTGCTTAAGGCTGCAAATGTTTGTCTGGGCTGTAGAAAAATCACAGCGTGCCAACTCCATAAGCTGACAGTCTGTGCTGTGATTGAACTGGTTGGTTGTTTCAGCAGTCTGGTGCAAACCCACAGTAGGTATAAGATACTTCTGTTGGCTTTTTTGCTTTAATGGACCAGGTAAAAATACAGTCGATCAGTGAACAACTGTCCTGATAGAGACTTGTAAGAGAGAATTTATAAGAAGTAAAACTATAATGAGTCTAGAAATTACAACAAAGTGTTGCCAAGTTGCCTTGGGTGTATAATTTCTGAAGACAAAGCTTCTGAATGACCCAAGAGCTTGGTTCCCCGCCCTCTGTTGCTTTATAACCTTTTTGAATGCTTCCTGCTCTGCTGTCCTTCAAAAACAAAAAAAAAAGTCTGCTTTTCAGAGTAAGCTACTAATTGATTATGGATTCAAAAGCAAGTAACCTTTGGCTTAGCAGGTGCTACTAGGGTAATCTGTTAATCTCTTTAAAAAGATACAGAGGCAGTGGTAACAACTCAGGAAAGCCAGGAGGCAGTGACTGACAACCAAACTCATCCAGTTGCCGAATCCAGTGCTGCAGGTAAGTAACCTATTTTTTAAATTTTGTACAAGTCTCTGAACTGATCATGTGCTCAGGAACCAGGCTGCAATCATATAAAAACTGGGAGAGATTTCTAACAACAGAGAAACAGAGCTTCATCCAGAAAAGGTTTCTTGTGTGCTGTCTCCTTTACTCAGAACTTACTTCTAACCCAGCCAGCCACCAAAGCTAAAAGCATTCTCCCAGGGCTTACCTACCTTGAAAAGAAAACTTTTCATTTTGTAAGAATTTATCAGTAGGTGAACAGTTGCTCTTATGCTGGGTATTAAGATGTTCAGAGAATGATGAATTAATCTGCGTGTTGTGATTTGCCGTAATTGGATGTGGATGTAGAAGGCAATAGGAAAGCCTTATTTTGGAAATCACTCTTTTCTCAGGTTATAACAATTACCCTTTGAATGTCTGGTGTAATGATTAGAGTGAAGGAGAACTTAAACAGGGTAGTTAAGAAGGTGTCACTACTGCAAGTGAAGGAAATACGATAATGGAGTTTTAGTGTGTGACCTTTAATTTGCTGGCTTTGTCATGGGTAACTACTTTGACTCGTTTCTGTATTCTTGTCAGATTGCATTCTGTGTGCAATCATTCATTGTGGTGTGTAAAGTTCTGCAGTTAACTGTGTTTAACAATGTATACAGCCAGAACCCTGGTACGCAGGACTTAGCTTAATAAGAACAAATACCTTAATGCAGGGTATTTCCTTCAGGAAGAAGGTACAGGTGCATAAATTGCTAAAGGAAAGCTTTATGAAGCAAGCACATATTAAAAGGATGAATGCTATAAGCACATCCTGTGGGATCCTGCTGTTGAAATTGATGCAGACTGACAGCGCTTGGTACTTCAGGTGAAATTATTAGGATCAGAGACAGTAGAAAGAAGTCATTCCAACAATCAGCAAAGATATAAAAGAAGGGGAAAGGCCAGGCTTACACCAACAGTTGCTAGAGTTGATGAGAATATGTTTTCTTCACTGGAGCTGAACATGGCCCCAAGGGGATGTGGAGCTTGTGAAGAGCTTGTTAAAGCCTATGGGTTCAAAAAGAAATTCTTTGTCTTCTCACAGCTGTGGAGAAGGTCAGCTGCTGCATACCTGAGGGCGTTCCCATAGACATCACGGTCAAGCTGATGGTGTGCTTGGTTCACTTGAACATCCTGGAGCCGCTCAATGTGAGTAGAAACCAGCTCGGAAGCTGGGAGATGTTCTAGTAAATTACCAAAGCAAGTATTTTTTCCTATCTTCGTATGACTAAGGTTGTTGAGAGAGCTGCAGAGATTCTTTTTGCTTCCCTCCCACACCAGGAGAGAAACCTAGCAAACCTGTAATAGCAGAAATACTATTTTTGTCCTTCAATGGAATTATTACTGAAGCACAGTAAATCACAGTCTGTGTGTTGTGGCAGGCTCAGAACCACATTGCAACACTAATGAATGCATCTTGGCTTTGTTTTAAAGCCCCAGCAAATCTGAAGATCATTCTTTCATAAAGAGCAGTCCACACTGATAGGTATTGGATGTGAAATGTATGGATGTGAAATATCTAGATTAGAAAATTGTGGCTTTTTCAGGAATTCTGAGATTTAGACCTTTATTTTTGAATTTTAAACTAACATTTAAATAAAGGAAGTGTAGTTTAGAATGCAAATAGAATAAAAATCATAGCATCAAAATGTAGGCTTCCAATAACCATACCTTAAAGAAATGTTATAACTGATTATTTGTGCTTTTAGTGTTTTGTGTGGTTTTTTTAAAGCCTCTTTTGACCACTCTGGTGGAGCAAAATCCAGAAGAAATGGGTGACTTGTATTTAGACGTCGCAGAGGCATTTCTGGATGTCGGAGAATACAACTCAGCGCTGCCTCTCCTGAGTTCCCTGGTCTGTTCAGAGCGATACAACTTGGCTGTGGTCTGGCTTCGGCATGCGGGTGAGAAGCAGCAGCACTGCTGAATGCGTGGTACTGAGAGAGGACCATACAATGCCGAGCACTTCCAGGGTCAATTTTCTAAGGTCACAGGAATTTCAGATTCACATGTTGAATGATAATTGCTATTTGCAAAATTGTAATCGAACTTTATTATGACAACCCTGTCATGGAGCACGTTCTTGTTTTTCATATAAAATTAAATTGACTTCAGCTAAAAATACTTTATTTTCATGTTAGTGAAACAGCATCCATTCCACATTCCATCCTGTGTCATGTGATGATGCTTTAAATTAAGCTGAATGCATCAGTACATATTTCTGAATATTTTCACTTTAATAATACACATTTTTGGTAGTTTAAACTGAAAAAGTATCTGAAAAATGCGCTATTTGCAAGCCTTGAAATCTTCTTTTTCTGCCATTTAAGTGTATTGTTTATGGTATTTCTAGAGTGCTTGAAGGCTTTGGGACACATGGAGCGTGCCGCAGAGAGCTATGCCAAAGTTGTTGATCTTGCTCCATTACATCTGGATGCAAGAATCTCACTTTCAACACTTCAGCAGCAGCTGGGCCGACCTGAAAAAGCTTTGGAGGCTCTGGAGCCAATGTATGATCCAGATACACTGGCTCAGGATGCTAACGCTGCCCAGCAGGTCAGTAAAGTGTTCTGTGCTTCCAGTTTGGGATGTGGTATTCTGCTAAACTATGGTAGTGGTCAAAGATGTCAACTATATAGGACCAGGGATTGAGACTTGCTTATGTACAGCATGCTGAGCCTTCAGAGCATAGCGAATTATTCATGACAGAGTATCAGGCATGAGTCCTCATGTCTCTTTCTCCCTGACTGCTGTATTCCTCTTTCTCTGTCCCACCTAATTTGTGTGATATGCAAGCTCTCAGCCACTGAGGACCAGACTTGATGCCAATTGCTTTGCATCAAGTTGATCAGCAGTTGCTACCTACGAGCGACATGATTTGGCCTCTATCGATTGTAACTGATGGCATAGCAAAGGTTCTATATCCCTTCTTCAGCAGCACTGCTGTAGGCAAGAATTACGCCTCATTTCGCTGAAATTTGAGAATTCGAAACAGGGCAGTTTAGGGAGATTTTACCTGCTGCTGCTAAGATTCTTACAGCTTTCTAGAAGCTTTTACAATTTTGTCAGTACTGTATTGAGTCCAGATTGTTTGTTTTATAAACTCGCTCTCTGTGCAAGAGGTTAAATAACAATATTCAATATTATCTAGGAACTAAAACTACTCCTCCATCGTTCGACACTGTTGTATTCCCAAGGCAAAATGTATGGTTACATAGACACTTTACTTACAATGCTGGCAATGTTGTTGAAGGTAAGCCAATCTACAGCAACACTTTAAGAAATTGGACAGCTATGAGTTTGGTTAAGACAAGTGACAAACAAACTCAGGAGGAAAGCTAGCGTTGTTTATATGCAAATAGTTTCATAATTTTGTTAGGTAATAATCTTGACTGGTGTTCCTGCCTGTAGCGTTCAGAACAAAGGACGACTCAGATGTATAAGTCTTAATACAGTGACTTCAATGCCCTGTTCCTCAGTGTGCCCAAAACACACTGAATACTAAAGTTGCTTCTTGCCTTTTTAGCTGTCAGCATAGTGTTTTCTTCAGCTATTGATACTGGCTTCTGTTTCAACAATTTTAATTTCATTTTTTTTCAATATTTTCTTGTGATAAAATGACCAAAGAAGAATTTGTTTAGCCAGTAAATACAGTGGCGTTGGTTTTGTGTTAACTGGGTTTTTTGTTAGTTTTTAAATAAGGAGTGAGGGAGGGGAAAATTCAGACCTCAGTTTTATCCATCTGATCAGAGCCATAACTGTTGTATTATCCTGGCTGAACAGCTGACTATTCACTTATTTCTGAAAGTGATACAATAAGGCATTGTTCTTGTAATGCCTCTACGCAAATAGTTTTGATTTCAATATATGCAGGGATGTTCCAGTCCCAGGAAAAGTCTTTTACATCATTTAAAGAGTTTGTACCTTTGTTTTGAATAGCCCAGTTTGCACTGGAGCATGAGATAGTGCAGAGAGAATAACTCCTCTTGGGAATGGTCTCCCTCATGATCTTGCTCTGCTGTTGTGTTTCTGAGTTGCGAACTGTTCTGGCATGCAGCGTGAGCAAGATGAATGGGTCATAAAGCTGCCTTTGTCACAGGATGTATGCATGTAATCTGAAATGCTGCCCTTAAATTTGTTTCTAGGTAGCAATGAGCAGAGCTCAGGTGTGTTTGATATCTAGTTCCAAATCTGGAGAGAGACACCTCTATCTTATTAAGGTGTCAAGGGATAAAATTTCTGACAATGACGACCAAGAGACAGCAAATTGTGATGCGAAAGGTAACAAATGTTTCTTAAAAACAAAGCAGCAAGATAAACTCCTTAGTTTTGAAAAGTGAAATAAATGTTACTATTTTATGTGCTAAATCCATGAAGTTCATGTTAACATTGCTTTATTTTTAGGACAAAGAAGGCAGCAAAAATGAAAATAATATAACTTAAGAGAACAATCCTCATTCTGAGAAAAACAGTGATTACAGAATAATTTAGATTGAGAAGGACCTCTAGAGATCATATGGTCTAACATTCTCCTCAGTGTAAATGTAATACACACCAATCTAGAACTTAATTGAAATACATGTTCTAAAAGTGGTGTGGTTTTGGTTTTTTTAATTGGCCCAGATTCAGTTAAGCCAGACTACACATTCTTAAGCACTGTTTGGTAGATTAGGAAGAGTAACTTTAATGCGTTCATGCAGTATGTGTACTACTTAAACTGTGTATTTCTTGCCATTTGTTCCCAAGTTCTGTCTGTTTTTTTGCTGGTATTTTGCAAACTGCACTTAAACTGAAAAAAAAACCACCCCACCCCAAAATTGTCTTTATTTTAGCTGTTAATGCTGAGTTGTTTTTGAGAAGATCAATTTGATGTATGAACTTTTTTTTTTTTTTTAGAGTTTAGCTCTTTTGCTATTTGTTCAACTTACTGACCTCAATGTTTTTAGCCATTTTTGCTGTTCTCACGAGCGTTTTGACTAAAGATGACTGGTGGAACCTCCTCCTGAAGGCTATCTATTCCTTATGTGACCTCTCCCGGTATGAGGAGGCAGAGCTCCTAGTGGATTCCTCATTGGAATATTACTCATTCTATGATGACAGACAGAAGCGCAAGAAGCTGGAATACTTTGGGCTCTCTGCTGCAATTCTGGACAAGAACTTCAGAAAAGCATACAACTACATCAGGTAGGGTTCTGAGAAGGTAGAGCAGCCTCTTGTAATTGCTTCCGCGGAAGCTGTAGTCGTACTGCTGGAAATACTGCTAAAGGAGGCAAGCTGGTCCTTTCCAGCTGTCACTAAAATAGATAAGGCTATTGAAACTAAAGGAGCTTTCTATAGCCTTTGAGTCAGAAACACGCGTAATGCAGTAGGTTGGCTGATTTGGCCAGAACCATAGGTTCTGTCTTTCATGCTCAACTTTGCCTCGGTCACTGACCTGCTCTGTGAGTGTCTCTTTGTTATCTGCCCTAAACTGTTGAGGTTCTATTGCAGGTACAGTATTTACTATAGCATTTACTAATTTCTTTTATATTTTTTATTCTGTAGAATCATGGTAATGGAAAATGTCAATAAACCTCAGCTATGGAACATATTCAATCAAGTTACCATGCAGTCTCAGGACGTCCGTCACCATCGCTTTTGTCTCCGCTTAATGTTGAAAAATCCCGATAATCACGCATTGTGTGTCCTAAATGGGCATAATGCGTTTGTATCTGGCAGTTTCAAGCATGCTCTTGGTAATGTCATTAATGTTCTAATATTAACATATGTAGCAAGTGAATGTTTTTTTCAGAGAAAGATTTATTAATTTTTTTCATACATCAGAAAATTGTAGGTGGCTTCACAGTGCTTTAATTCTTTTGAATGCAAAGCATCGCTAAAGAGTGTTGCTAATAAAGATTAAGCGGGTATGTTTCAAGTTTAGGACACATTCCAAATGTAACCAACTCGCAAGGATAATTGAAGGATGATGATAATAAAGAATGACAGAAACATACCAATTTAAACAGCAAATAAAGTTGGTTGGACATTTTAAGCAGGCCTTTGAAGTAACCCTACTACTTCAGTCAAGCCTTCCAAATGTCACACTGAAGATGTGCAGCTTCTAGGATATAAATAACAGCAAGGACCTTGTGTGCCTTCTGTGTCTGATTCTTTTCTGTTTATATTTTTACATTGTAGTTTGCATTTTTCCTTCAGAATCCAAGGAGTGCTGAAAAAACTATTTTTTCTTTCGTTTTCTTTTTCCTGTGTGTGTTGATGTAGGTGTATTAAATTGTTTCTTTTCTTAGTTCACACTTCTAATTTGAAGATTTTCTTTTTTGCCCTTAAATTCTTAAGGAATGCTTTTCGCAGCAAACATCCTGATTCAGTTATTTGTCTTTAGGACAGTATGTGCAAGCCTTTCGTTCAAACCCAGGTGAACCCCTGTACAGCCTTTGCATTGGCTTGACTTTCATCCACATGGCTTCTCAGAAATACGTGTTGAAAAGGCACGCTCTTCTAGTACAGGTGAGTTAGTGGGGTTATTTTTACCTGTGCGTTTTCCTGTCTTTGTATCTTGCAGACAGTTATCGCTACAACATACTCTGTGTAAATAACTTTGAATAATTAATATGGCATTTCAAAAGAGGGAATTTGCAAAACACAAACGCAGATGAGTATGCTTCTGAACTATAGTTACACCTCTCCTTTTAGTTAAAAGTAGCTTGTTCTGCTGTGTGCATACAATGAGGACTCGCATGGATGTTAGCAGCTGCCAGCTGTTTGTGAAAATATTGCTGATTTCAGTCTTGATGGATGTAGCCTGGATTTTTTTGCAGATTTTAATTCTTGCCCTGCCTTGCTGTGAGCAGGTACAGAGTAGAATCTATGCCACGCACCCTTCATGGACATGTCTCGTAAACTGCATTGTTGAAGCAAACTTTACAGACTTAGAAAGTGTTGAGTATTTTTTCCCCCTCTCTTCTTTCCCTCCCTTTTAGGTGCCTCTTACAGCTCTCTGTAAAGGTCTTGTGAACTCCAGTTTAGGCTACCCTCAATTTTTCAGCTTCCTTATGAACATTTTTCTTTCATCTGCCAGATCCAGTTACAAACCACAGGCTGATTATTCCCAAACAGAACCTTGAAAGTAATTCCCTCTACCCTCCACCGAGTGTTTTCATCAACTTGAAATGCCTTTTAATTCCTGTGGCCACTGAGCTCAGAGTCAGCAGAATATGGTGAGGGTCCTGAGCTCTTGCGACTTCTGAAATTGCTGAAAAACTGTGGCTTGCACTGATTTTGACAAAAGCTGCAGGTCCTCAACTACTCTAAAACAAGACCAATTATGTCAGCATCCAACTTCAGACATTCTGAACTTGCAAACTTTGGCCTAATTTTAATATTTTAATCCCCTTCTTTCTGTAATCAACCTGCCATTCTTGTATGGGCTGCTATGTTCTCCTTTTATAACCTACTTGAACAATGTCCTGTTCATGTTACCCTCTGGTGATACTGTTCCCTGCTTTCTCTTTTCTTTTTTCTTGTTTACTATTCTTCATATATTTACATCCTCTCTTGCTCCCATTGTAGTTGATTAATAATTCAACTGCAGTGACATACTGGTGACCTAAATGATGATCATTAACTGCTTGTGTCTGAACGAATTCCTCATGAGGAAGGAGCTGTCTTCCCTTATTACCAACATGGTCCCTAGAAAGAAAGTCCTCTCTTTACAACAGACTCATCACAGTCCAAAGTGGTAACTGGTACTGGAGTACATATTTATATGGGACACAAGCTCAAGAAAAGAATATGCTTGCATTTCGGAAATAATACTTTGATATGTACTTCATGGAGTTCAGAATTTTGTAGAGTTCTGAAAAGTTGTAGAATTAAGCCATTTCTTGCCTCTATCCGAGGCAGAGAGCAAGGGAAATGGAATGAAGGTTTAGGGTTTTCTTTTCCTTCTCTGAGGGAAAAAAAAAAAGGTGCTGGAGGGTTATCTTTTTCAAGATTATTTTTTTTTTCTTTTTGTTAAGAAAAATAAGATCCTGCTCTGGTCTGCCTTTTGGCTGCATGTTTTTCCAAGTGGTCGGCTCTTCTGAATATGAACCAGTCTAATGTGTGTGTGTACATTACATAAACACATTCATATATACTGACACATTCAGCAAGTTAGTGTTGTAAGTCACTATACTAAATAATGACTGTGTGTTCAGTTTGTAACTAAGATCTCCCCGTTGTCATCAATGGCAGTGGGACTGGCAGAGCACACTTTTCATGGTCTCAGCAATCAAATGTGACTTATTTTTTGCCTTCAACTTGCATGTGGTTTTGTGAAGCATGACTTAAAAGTTTAAATAAATACATTTACACACCTGTTCTCCAGCATATTTCACTGCCATCTTGTTAAAAGGAACATTCACAAATGTGCATAAATATGTGTGCAGGGATTCTCCTTCCTTCACCGGTACTTGGACCTGCGTGGACCATGTCAGGAGTCTTTCTACAACCTTGGCCGTGGCCTTCACCAGCTGGGATTACTGCACCTGGCAATCCACTACTACCAAAAAGTCCTCGAACTCCCTCCTCTCACCTTAGAGGTGCTGTACCTTTCTAAGTTATGCACAGAGAATAAAGCCAGGTCAATGTTAATTTCTCAGCCATAGAAAATCGATACATAAAATCTGTGTAGTTGAGTTTCTTTTAGTGTGTGTTGTAATGCCCTGTCATTGGAAGCCCAATTCTGATGGTAATGCCTTTATGCATGTGTTAATTTAAAAGGTTTATGAATTTTGAAGGATTTATTAGTAGGCTGAAGTAGCAGCAAAAAGGGTTGTTAAACAACTTCATCTGAATAAGTAGCTGAACTTTATATATATAAATATGCCATAAGTTATAACTGGAAGTTCTATGTACTCGCCCATGCCGGAGCAATACGAGGCAGTATTAAGAATGCCTAAATGCATCTGAGCCATGGTTTTGCTCTAATTGGTCTGTACCAGACCATCCCAATTGATGTGCTGTACATTTACAAGACTGCTCTGAGAGAAAGTTTTTGCCTGGCTTTGGCATGGGTATGTAGAAAAATTACAAGGGTATTTAGGAAACGAGAAGGGTTGGTAAAGTAACACCATGGGTGTTAGCGAGCGCTGGGAGGTCAAAGCAGCCATCTTTTGACCGCATAGAAGATACAGGCAGCATTCATGTTCTGATTATAGAAACAAATACTTTGCATACACGTTAAGATAGTACTTTCTGGTTTATGGGTTGGCTATCTATTTTACAGCTAATGTTTTGAGGATGTAATTATACAGCTCTTTGGTGATTAATAACATGTGGAAACTCAGTAATGAGGGAGGGCATGAGGAATACCACTTTTGTTCCTGTACAACTGAAAGCTTATATAAACCATGAATACATGATTTGATTCTACTGTAATGGCTACTCAAGTTTCAATTTCATACTATTTTTGCATATAGATAACTTCTGTAATCATTATTTTTGCAGGGAATAGAAACTGATCAGACAGACTTGAGAAGAGATACTGCCTTTAACTTGTCACTGATTTATCAGAGCAGTGGAAATACAAGAATGGCTCAGAAGATGTTGTATACCTACGCAGTTGTGTGATGAGGTTTGTAGCAGGAGGAATTGATACTCTTTGTATTAACCTTGTATGCAGTGCTGGCGAAACCGGGTTTAGGTACAGCTTTTTCTCTAGGTGGTCAGAGACATGTGCTGTATATAGCTTTATGGACTTTTTCTACTTCTGACATTTGAGCTGTATTGCATATGAATGGAAACTGTTCTGCGTACAGGGCTGCTGTGCTCAGGTGTGTCTGTTACTGGCTTTTCTCCTTTGATGCAGCACTCTGTAACCTGATATTAAGTCTTGTATATAGAATCCCACAGTGAAAACTGAAGCCTAGTGCATTTGTTTCTTTTTAATTTACAATGTGCAATATTACAACTAGTTACCAGTGAGGTAAGAAGCCATATTCACTCGTGATAAGGGTTTTATAATGTGCAGCATTATTGCTATAATGTAGAATAAATGGGCTCATACAAATACCTAGAGGATGGAGAACTCAGTATTTCAAGATCCTTAAAGTATTCAGAATTTTCTAGGGGTTCATATTCCTAGCAGCTCTTCTATCTGAAGGAAATTGATTTCTGTTTTACTGAAATCAGTGTAACCTTTGTTCTTCTTCTGAACTTGTTAATAAAAATCCTGAGGTTCATGATAATGTTTACTTGTTCTCAGCAAACATATCCTACTGAACAGCTTATAGCAAAAATTAATATAATAATACCATACAGCTTATTATTTAACATATGTTGCAAGTGGTCTGGGGTTTTGATGATTTCTGACAGTTGAACAGTAGCACATGATGGTGGAAGCATATTGCTTCCAGCCCAGCAAAAGAAGCAGGATGCAGTGCTTTATCATAAATAAAAAGAATATATAGTTATATGCATATCTGGAAATGGATATGTTATGCACTACAGCAAAATAAGGCTGAAAAATATTATTCAGCAAGGCAGTTTGTTGAATAGAAAATGAACTGTGCTATTGCCTCCCAGGCACTCTTGTTACTTACATTTTCACAGGTAACTACTGCTGTTTGCTTTCAGCCCACTTACTACAGAACACAGGTAAGTGTAACATTTCACACACTTGCAATCTGTGACTAAGAAATGAGTCTTGGGGCATTGACTAGACTAATTTTGAAGGGAATTTCATCTCAAATCAAAGTACATGAAATTACAATATATTGCATGTCTGCTTCACTAGAGATACTCTGGGCCATAACGAGAATACAAAGGTAAGAGACAAATACCAAGAAAGTCTCACTAAATTGGAAAAGTGCAGTGTGTTTTACATGAAAATAGTTCTTGGCAGCACTGCCCAAATACAAGTCCCATGCAAAGTCTGCAGAACTATTAATTAAATAACCATTTTAGTGACGTTAGTCTGGGATAAGCTGCAGAAGGGAGAGAATGACTCCCTTACCTCCATTTCATTTCTTATTCTTTTTGATACCTCTTGCTGTTTTTGACACGATAGCCAACTGTTTCTTGGGTAACTGAAGCTGACTCGTGACGTATGTACAAGCATAATACTGTTGCATCATCTTGGGGTAAAAACTCTTCTGTTGAAGCTTCCTTTATTTGTTATTGTCCTCTTTATATATTGTAACCTCATTGATTTTTTTTCTTCTTTCAGCAAAATAGTCAGAATTCTATTGCTTGTACTCTTTTTTTTTTAATAGAGTTGACACAGGGAGAGGTTGTGGGGTTTTTTAAACAATTGTCTTAAAACTTGACCGACATCAATGCATTAATTACTTTAGTTCTGCTCCATACTGCTGCTAGAATTCTGAAGCTGTTTAGTTTTTAAACCTAGGTGGTAGGAATCTTTAGCATTCATACAAATAGAAATTAAAAATACAGTCTGAATGCTGACGACTTTCAAACTGTTTTTTAAATTGTCTTTAAGCACCAAGTAACAGAAACTTGCATTTCATTAAACCCAGTCAATATGGACTGGAAAATTCATACTGCTAGCAAATAGTGCTCCAAAAGGATGTTCTAAACAATTCTGACCATCTGCAAGGAAGGGATACTACACTTGTCTCAATGCAGATTATCTAAAGCTTTCTCAAATGCTTGTGGAAAAGAACTGTGTATGAAGAGAGAACTTAACATTTTTCTATAGCTAAATGCAAGTGACATTTATGGTTGAGTCTTATTTCACCTTTACACAGTATTACATATGTCACATACAGTGGTGCAGCAGTAACAGATTAGACAAGACAACAAAAGACAACACAGACACTGTGGGAATAATCCCCAATAAAAAGAAGTTTAAACAGGCTTAGCCTGCTTGAAAAAAAAACAAAGCATAGAAGATGTGTACAGAAAATATGTGTGCTTATATAGGCTTTAAGTATATAGCCACAGCTGTGCTGTCCAGTACAGAATCAGGTAAGTTTTAAAGAAGCCACGTATCTCTTGCAGTACTGCTCATAAAGTTATCCATGCCTTTACTTAGGAATTATTTTCCAAAACAGTGAAGTTGTGATCCTGTAGTGCACGTTTCATCATGGTACTTTATGTAAGGGATACACAGGGGATTGTGAGGCCGAAACAAATATTTTTGGGGATATGAGTGTCAGTATAAGATTTATTTTGGCATGTGCCATATTCATGTTTTGGTTTACTTGGCTGTAGCTTGTTTTAAGGATGCTCACAAGAATGTAACACTGGGGCAGATGCATGTAGCCTCTTTCCTAAATCTTCTTTGCAGTGAGAACTGTTTTACTGAAATGTAGAATGTTGTGTGGGAGCACACAGCAAGGCAGGAAAAGCTTGAAATCCAGCCATGACAGTTTTGGGAAAGCTTTCATAAATCACTGAGAAAGATAGACTAAGAGGGACAGAATACTTTAATCAATGCCAGCCTCACCTGTCAGCATGTTGGGAATATTCCTCAAGCCTCACAAGGAACGAGAATTAGTAACAGGTTCACTGAAATGCACTACATACATTGTCAAACTACTTGGATTAACCATAATAATTTTGTTAGTTGTTCATCGCTGAAGAGCTACTTTTATATGAAACACTAACTCAAGGCATACTTAAATGACTGCAAATAAAAGCATCTGCTGTTTGTCTTAAAAACTGAACCACACCTTTTCAGTGGTGCTTACCTGGTATCAGCATAAACAAGTGCAGAAAGCTGAGTTAACATTCACTGAAAGCCACAGATTGACAGGAAAAAAACCCAACAACTGACCAACCTTTTCACTGTTCAGAAAATTCATTTTTAAATACTGCAAATATTACTGTAACTAGGAGAGGCTTAGCAGCTACCAAGCCTAGGGTAAAGCTAGCAGTGTAGGCCTCAATTAATTGATCCTGCAGGTGGCAGCAGTATTAGATTATTACAACTCCGTTGAAATTACTGTATTGAAAGAAAAGAATAACAAGATATTGTCTATTGTGTACGTTTGCTGTTCTGAATGGGTGAACTGTCACTCACACTGCTGTGGTTCACATTGCAGAGCGAGCTCTGAGCAGACAAACTCGTTTCCTTTCAAATGAAAGCAAGTTAGAAGTGCTCTAGTTGCTAGTGAGCATTCAGTCAGCAGGCTCAGACTAGAACTAATCCCAAGTAAAAACCAATCCAAACCATGTCCTGGACATGTGGACCAGCTCTTTCATTCTGCATGTGTCCCACTGAGCTGCGTCACTGGCTAAAGCAGGCGTAGCCAAAGCTTAAGGTAGTGCTAAAGTTAAAAGATACTGGGATACAGTAATCCTGCACAATTACACTGTATCTTACTGCTTTGCACCCTAAACCCCAAACAAGTTTAGAAGAAGCAACAGGATGTGTTGAACTTGGAAGAGAATGGCACTGTGCAAATGTCCAGTTTAGTGGCCACAGCCATAATCAGATTTGCATTTCAGTATTCAAAGTAACTGCAGATGCATGGCCCCAGAGAGCGACCAGGGGATTCTGATCAAGGAAAGGGTGAAGAACCAGTCCTCGAGGTATACCACGTATTGGTACAAACTCCTGTAGGGGGAAAACAGGGGGCTGGTTGGTGCTGTTGCCGTGCCAATGTGCAGTTGGTCGGAGCGCAGCTGCTGTATGCTTTGTCCTTTTGCACAGGAAAAGGTCACACTTATTTGTTCCTTGTTAGGCAACCTGCTTAAGCATTCAATAGAAACAAAAGTGCTAAACTGCAAGTGCTATTTGAGAAGACTGTTTTTCAGCTGTGATTACTCTACAGTTTCAGTTCACAGCAAGCAAAACTGGATTACCATTTTGACTGCTGTTTGCCTGAGGGTACTGTGGAGGTAGGAAGGCACAGCTTATGCTAAACCACTTAAGCGCCTTTGGGGAGCAGATGTGCCATACGTAGCAGTTGATTTCTGAAGGAACCAGCCTGACTGGGACAAACTTAACACCATATTGCATAGGCTCGCTTTTAAGCAGCATGGTTTAATGGAGGTCAGGTATGTATTAGCTTTAACAGTGTGCTCAGCCACCCCTCTTCCTTAAGGAGGAGAGGCTCAGGTTGCCCTGAATTAGTCCAGAGTCCTAACACAGAAGTTATAGTTCAGGACCAAATTTCTGGAGGAGCAGAATGAGCTAATTCCAGTGTGTCCTTGGGCTACTCCTAAGCTCCAGAGGTAGAAAAGACTTCCCTCCCCACTAAACATAACAAGTATTGCAAATAACATGTATAGATCCCACAGAAATACATAGTACCATTGATCACAGAGGAATTTGCAAGCAGCTCTGTTGAAGCACATGAGAGTGCAAGAACACCCGTACTGAAGCCAGGTTGTACTGAAAACATGTGGAAGAGTAAGCCATGACAAAGACGAGCTGATCCTTAGTTAAAGGATGAAAACTGTCCATGTTATAATAATTTTTAACATAACTATGCTGTAAGTCATGTGCTTCAACTACTCTTTCCTCAGTGTGTTTTTCCACAGTAGGATAGGTTGAACAAATTCCACTAATTCTTATGAAGGTAAGATGATGTGTGGTAGAACATCACACACCTAATGAATTCCTCGTATGCTCCTAAAATAGCCCAAGGCTTATGTTCTCTCATGACCCAGATATCATCTACCATTAGAAGCAGCCAGTCCTGCCAGTTCCTCCCTGTCCCAGTCACGTCAG